TGGACGAGGGAGGAGAACAAGGCGAGGGACGAGGGAGGAGGAGCACGAGAACGGCAAGGGCGCAGGAAGCTGAGGGGGAGGGAGGAGGGACGAGGAGAATGATGAGGAGCAGGAGGAGGAGGAGTGAAGAGGAGGAGGAGGAGGAAGATGAGGAGGAGGAGGAGGAGGAGGAGGAGAGGAGGAGGCGGAGGGGTGAGAAGGGGGAGGAACGGTACGAGGGCTGAGGACAGAGAGGAGGAGGAGGAGGAGGAGGAGGAGGAGGAGGAGGAGGAGGAGGAGGAGGAGGAGGAGGAATGGGAAAGAGGAGGGGAGAAGGGGAGTAGGAGGTGGAGGAGCAGGAGAGAAGAGGGAGGAGGTCGACTGGAGGGCAGACTTTTTTACTGCCCCCGTCCGCGGTGCGCCGACGCCTCGCAACCGCGGCGGCCGCAGTCGCCCGCGCGCTTGAGCGCGCTTTTCCCTGCCTTTCCCCGAGGGGGGGGGGGCCTCGGCGGGGCTCGCCCGTGTCCCGCTGTGACGACGCGAGCGCTTCGCCGCCGCCCGCGGACGCGACGTGCTGTCAAGAGCCTGAGGCATCACGGCCCCCTTTCCTCCTCCGCCAGTCCAGGTCATCCTCCTCCCGCTTCCTCACTTCCCTCCTCCTTCTCCCTGGGGGAGAGGGGCGGGGAGGACAGACGGGGAAGGGACGCGGAGGAGGAAAAAAAAGGAGGAGGAGGAGGAGGAGGAGGAGGAGGAGGAGGAGGAGGAGGAGGAGGAGGAGGAGGAGGAGGAGGAGGAGGAGGAGGAGGAGGAGGGATGCACGCCGCCTCCCCGCTCATCCCCCCCTTTTCCCTGCTTTCCCCTTGTCGTCGCCATCGTAGTCGTCCTCCTTCTGCTGCTCTTCTCTTTCGTTCCTGGGCTCAGAACAAGTGTCCCTCTCCTCCTCAGACGTACATCTACTGTTGTTCCCCAGGCAGGCCTTGCCTGATGGGGGCGGCCGTGCAGTATGGTCAGTGGAGATTAGTGGTGGCTGTGGCCGGCCTGGTTCCCCTTCAGGGGTTCCCAAATCGGTTCCCCGCGGTTCTTTGGGGGGGTCCTTGTGGAGGCTTGAATTCTAAACCATAAAAACTAAGAGCCTATAAAGATTTAAATCCTAAAAGCCCTTAAGTCCCTCCTTCGGCCGCCCCCTCCCATGTTGGCGCACCCCTCACGCAGATCCTTGCCCTCGGAGCGCCAGGAATGCCGTTCTGGGAGGATCTGCAAATCCCAGGGTCCTCGGAGCGCCAGGAATGGCGTTCTGGCCCGATAAAATCCCAGGACGCACCCCTCACGCAGATCCTTGCCCTCGGAGCGCCAGGGTGCGCCCCTCACGCAGATCCTTGGCCTCGGAGCGCCAGGAATGGCGTTCTGGCCCGATAAAATCCCAGGACGCACCCCTCACGCAGATCCTTGCCCTCGGAGCGCCAAGAATGGCGTTCTGGGAGGATCTGCAAACTCCCGGAGTACCGGGAGTGGCGTTCTGGGAGAGCCTGCGAAAGTGCAGGGTACTCCCCTCGCCCAGACTCGTGGCAGACGTTCATGGCCTCGGTATGCCAGGCATGGCGTCAGTACTGTCCTTCGCGAAAGGTACGGGCGCGACCTCGACCCTTTCGGGTTGAGAGCCGCCCCCGTGCCCTTCCCCAGGGGCCGCCCCGTGGAGGCTGGACATGGCCCCCTGGGTTTCCGAGCGGATATGGCCGCCCCGTCGCGCGGTCACTCCGCGGCGCGCTCAAACGCCACGGAGCCAGCGCGGCGGGGCGACCACGGCCGCCCAGAAGCCCCCCTCCCCCGGGAGCCTCTCGCCGAGAAACTCCCGGAGGAGGGCGCAGCTGCGCCTCGTCGACGCGGCCTTCGCGCGCCGCGTCGCGGGGAACGCGCTCGCCGAGCAACGAACTATTCTTCGCGCATCGCGTCGAGCTGGGTTCTTCGCGCGCGCACGCGTCGTATCGCCCATGCATCGGCCTTCGCGCGCCGCGTCGCGGGCAGCGATCTCGCCCAGCAACGAATTATTCCGCGCGCCTCGCGTCGAGCTGGTTTATGCATCGCCAAGGCGTCGGTAAGTTTCTGCGGGGGGGTCGGGCTACTCGTTGTGGCGCCGCGCGTGCGCGCATCGCATCGCTCTTGCATCAGCCTCCGCGCGCCGTGGCGCGCGGGCCGCATCGCCGTTGCAGCCGCGTCCCAGGTGTCTTTGCGCGGCCGCGTCGTCGTCGTTTTGAAAACAATATCAACGTCGTCGTCATCGGTGTCGTCCTCGTCGTCGTTTTGCGAGTCGCGTGTTGATACCGCATCGAGATCAATATGTCTTGGGTCATGGGTGGGTGGGACACGGTCAAGTGGGCTGCAAGTTTGGGCTCGTGGACTTACACCTTAAACCCTAAACCCGAAACCCGACCATCAACCCTAATCCCGGCCCTAAACACGACCCTAAACACCACCAGGCAAAGCATTTCAATATAAAAAGCAAAGAAATTATGCCCAGGTGGTCCTTTGGCGGGCTCCCAGGTCCCGTGCCTGCTTTGGTTTGCCTTGCATGTGTTTGCTCTGCTTTGCCTACCCTGCTTGATCCACCTTGAATCTAACAGCGTCGGTTTGCTGACCAATGCGATTGCAATAGTTGCAATGGTATTCGTTGTTCTGACATGCCATACGCTATGTCCCGCTGTGCAGCGCAGTATCGTGCTATCCTTAAGTTTGCAAATCTATGCTGAACGATGCGGTACAATGCTCTCCAAATCAATGCGCTATGTTCACATATCCCATGCTCTGCTATGCAATGCAACACTAAATGCCATCATGTACGTTGCTACGTTGCACGATGCTTCCATACCGCGTGGCAGCGCTATGCAAGGCCATACGATGCATCCTTCTGGTATGGCTTGTTTCGCTTCGCTAGACAACTGTTGATTTGAGACTACATGCGCAGGGTCGGGCTGGGGTGACCGTTCGGGAAGCCCCGCCGCCTGGAAATGGCCGGTCGGTGCGATCGAAATGCCTACGAAGAGAACGGGGACGAAGACCAACCCAGACCCCCTCGCGTCGTGCAAAAGCACGGCGGATTGGTTTATGTTCCCAACCATCCTGCGATGTCCGCTCCTCGTTTTGAGGAGAGAACCCTCCGCGTCTCTCATCCAGCCTCCCCCCTCCTCCCAACCCTGCCTCTGCTATGATCATGTCCATGTCGGCACACCCGTCACGAGGGTTGTGGCCCCTTAGAGAGCTCCACCGCAGACCCCAGCGGCAGGGTCCGCACGCGTCCCCCCTCGGACTTCGGCACACCCCTCGAAAGGATCGTGGCCGCAAAGGGAGCTCCACCGAAGGCCCCACTGGCAGTGTGCCCATCCTTCTTCTCGCTCGGCATCGCGCCACTCGCGGCTGCATCTAGTTGGGCCCCTGGGCCGGATTTGTCTTCGGGCCCTCGCCAGGCCCCTGGACCGTCGAAGAGTTACCCAGGACGAAGAGCTGGCCCCGGGGAAGGTGCCGAATGTGGCGGGGCCCATGTGAAAAATCATGACGTCGGGAGCAGCAGTTCCTTCCCATTTTTAACAGACAGGTGTCGGCGTCGCCGCGGACGCCGCCCATTCGAGACAGGAGGTCGCCTGCCCAACAGCGGCCGCTGTCGGAGTCAGACATCGTCTGCGGTTGGGCACTGTGCCATTTGTCCGAACTTGCCCATTTTGAGCGCGCTGATTTCTGGAATGGTGCCGAGCAGCTTTAGCCGAGGCATCCAACGCATATAAAAGTTAGCACAAGCGTCTCTGGACAGTTTTGGCCTCTGGGGGCCCTCGCCGGGCCCGTGGACGGTTAGTAAAGATCGGCTCGGGTGGAAGACCAGCCCTTCGGGGAAAGGGTCGGGACTTCTGGAGACCCCTTCCTGGAATCGAGCTATGTGCGGTGGATCTCGGGGAAGAGGGCCCCCATGCAATTCCAGAAGACTCCCCCGTCAGCACGACCCCACCGAGAGCCGCTGCGTTCGCGCGCGAGGCCTCCGTGAGAGCATATGCTTGTGTTGCGCGCGCGCCGACAGTCAAACAGCAATACAGTCAACCCGCATAGCAAGGGCGGGCAGCCTTCCCAAGGGTACCCTTGCATCCTTGCCTCCTCGGTCCATCCTTGACCACTTTCGTTGGCCGCGCCCCGCTCGGAAAGCTGCGACATGGCCTTCAAGGCCCTTGCTCCCTTATCGCACATTCTTACTATACGGTTTGACTGTAGCGCAGACGCTTGCAACCCACTCGAAAGCCCAGACATGGTTGACGCTGGCTAAGTTTTACAACGTGGCCCCCGAGAGGGCTGGACACCTGTCCCGGGGCCGTTCGTTCCAAGTCGTTCTTGTACGGTCCTGGGTTTGGCGAGGACCCCAGGAGGCCGACAATTGGCAAAAACCATCCCTAGTTACTTCTTCACGCGAGGAAGTAGGGGGGATCACGAACCCCCCTTCCCCTCGGAGGGGGCAAAGGTATCCATACCGCTACACTTCGACAGTTTTCCCATATGTTCGCCCTCGTAGGAGGCCCTCGCCTCGAGATTCTGATCAGAACGCTCACGGGCAGAGGTCGGGGGAGTAGCGGTATGGGTATTTTTTGATGCCCCCATCCCCGGAATGTAATTCTTGGCAAGCTAACCCATGTAATGGCTAAACCATTCGATGGCCTCCTCATCGGGTGTAGAGGCTACAAACTGTTCTTACGAGGACCTCCATGCCTCCTCAAGCAGACTCTTACGGCCAACTCGACCCCTCCCACATCCCGGCCCGCGGACCTCTTCTGGGGTGTACCTTGACCACACTGCTTATTGCAGAAGGACGCCGTGGCGGCGAGAAAATCCTCCCGAAGGCCCAACAAGGGCAAGACCTGCTCCAGAACGCCCCCCCACACATTCGGCAATTACCACAGCCGCCCTCGGCGACACCACAGAGTCGAAGACCGACACCGAAACGACTCCGTGACCGAAGCCGACCCGAAGAAGCGACGGGTCCCCGGCACGAGGAGCCCGGCCGCAAGCGGGTGATGCTCATCACCCGGGGCACCCGGGGGGACGTGCAGCCCTTCTGCGCCCTGGCCCGGGGCCTGGTGCTGCACCACGGCTGCGAGTGCACGGTCGTCACCGAGCTCTGCTGGAAGGACCTCGCGGAGGGGTGCTGTCTCAGAGGGGGGAGCGGTTTTTTACCGCTACCGACAAAAGGTGCAGAGAGGGTGCCCCGTGTCGGGCCCCAGACCCTGACGGATCCATCCCGCTCGGACAGTGCAGCCGAAGGGTGGGGTCAGAGCTCTCGCACAGTTGATGTAACGATGTTGCAGTTTTCTCGCGGCGCCAGGGTCTCGTAGCAATCAACCCGTAAGGATTTTGACAATTTTCGGCCTCCGGGGGCCCTCGCCGGGTTCCGGGACGGCCGAAAAAACGACTCGGCCGCTCCCGAGGAAGAGGTCCAGACCTTATGGGGAGCCATGTTGTGACAAAATGAAGGCGTCGGATGTCTGGGAACGGTGTCGGCGGCAGTTTGGATGACGGTGGCGGTGATGATCAGATTCGGAGGGAAGCCTTCTCCGTTTGCTACGCCGCACATGGATTAGATGCTCGTTTGGGGAGACTTTCATGGGCCCACCTAACGGACCCATTCGACTCAAGTCCGAATCCACTTCGACTCTAGCTCGACTCTAGCTCGACTTACGTAGGTCCGACTCAAGTCTTGGAGGCCTGGGAATGGGCACCAACACCAACACAGGGGGTCGCCCCCACAGGGGTAAGGCGATCCTGGATTTTGGTGTTGGTTGCCGTAGTTCGGCCACCTTGGAGGCCGATTATTACCACCATCACCGAGATCGGGAGCACCTTCCCTCGTTGGAGACACGCCGCTGATCTCGGCGTCGGTGTCACCCTCTGGGCCTCCAAAAGCCGGCGGAGATTCGACGCGGCGTCGGCGAGCACGAGTGGGGCAAGCTGTGCTCCAGGAGCTCGCGCTCCGCGTGCCGCGGAGGCGGCTCCCACGGCACGCTGCGCCGTGCAGGCCGGCGGCGTGACGCTCCGCCAGGCAGGGCGGCGGCCTTGAGTCGGGCATGTCCCTCTGCAGGAAGGGCATTCAAGAATAATGAAAAATAGTTTGGGGACGATTGTTCATTATGTATTTGTTTTTGTGCGTACCTTTAAATGGTTTACAAAGTTGTTCGTCCAAAATCCGCATGTAGGAGGACATACCCGACCTCACGGTGGCCTGGAACAGCTCGGACCGTTGATGCCTGGGGGCCAGGACAGAGCGCGTCACGCAGAGGCATGGTGGGCCAGAACCCGCGACGCGCCACGCTGAGCAAACGTTCCAGGCCATCCCCGGCATCTTCCGTCGCGTCGTGTTTTTTTCTTTCGCAGCGTGGCTCCCCAGAGATGTCTGGAGCCCTTCCTTTGGACCGGCTTTTTCCCCACCCGACAGGCAAGGGCAGTTAATAAATAAACAGACAGGCCTTCCGACCCATCCACCATTTTTACCGCGGCCGCCAGTTCCCCAGATCCCCCGAGTATCGACGAGAATCCCGCTTCGCGGCACTCTGCATACCGCGGCCGCCAGATCACCAGATCCCCCGAGTATCCACGAGAATCCCGCCTCGCGCCACTCTGCATACCGCGGCCGCCAGCTCCCCCGACTGTCCCCGAGAGTCCCGCCTCGCGCCACCCTGCATACCGCGGCCGCCAGATCCCCAGGTCCCCGAGTGTCCCCGATAGTCCGCCTCGCGCCGACAAATCAGAACATGACAGAGTGGTATTATAAGATAGCAGAACATCGTACAGCACACGACTGTTAACTATGCCAGGACAGAGCATAGTACCACCACCTAACATAGCATATCCGAGCTTACATACGATATAATGACAGAACATCTCGTAGCATAGCACGGCATGACAAGACAGTGTACACCATAGCACAGCATCGCAGCACATATCGTTTCATAACACGACCAAGTAAGCATACCATAAGATTTCATCGCAGAACTGAGCATGCCAACACAGAATATGCCACAGCCTCACATGACATGGCATAGCATATCAGAAAACAGCACAGCACAACAACGCATGCCATGACAGGCCAACGCATACATAACATGACACATCATAACATAACAATGTAGAACAACATACCATTACATACCATGGCAGAGCATACCATACCATAACACAGCATCACAGCACAGATATCATGTTAGTCAGCATCGCAGCACCGATGACACAAACCATGTCATATCGCGGCATACAATGTTACATTGCATAACACCAGAAGCTATGCCATACCGTACCATGCATGACCGAACATAACACCACACCTCAAGCCATGACGGAATAGAGCATACCATAACATGTAATGCCATACTATATCATAACATTAATCACATGGCATAGCATATCACGCCGTAGCACAGCATCAACTTACATACCATTACATAGCATGGCAGATCATACCATGACGGAGCAACACGCAACACACTACACCATAGCATGTCGCAACATATCATATCACACTATGGCAGATCATGTCATACCAGCACATTAAAACGTAACCCTGAAATATACACAAAAACACGCAATGAAGTCATGGAGCATACAGGGCATAACATGAAACACACACACATCTTAACAAGACGTGCCAGAGCACGCCATAATGTAGCGTAAGGACATATACCAGAACACCACAACATGCCACACAATGGCATCGTATATCTTAACATAACACATACTCGCAGTATGCCATAACGTGACAAAGCACACCATGATGGATCTCAGCATAACATGTTGTCACACCGCAGGACATAAGACATTATCGAGTACCATGCCCTGTCAGAACAAGGCATGACAGAACGCAGCATCGAGCACAATACAAACTAACAATTCATAGCGGAGCACCGTGGGGGAGATTAGCACGCATCATAACAGAGCGTACCAGAACTGTTTTCATATTGGTGCCACGACGGCAACAAAATTGTTCAAACATTGAAAATGTTATGATATAGCAGAGGACAGAAGAACGCAGCACAGTGTGAGGCACAGAGAACAGAGCACAACGTAACCAGCCCATCATCTCTTAACTCTGTCTATATTGGTGCTCCGATGGCAAGAGGCTTGACATATCACCACAAGCTACACCTTCATGAAGAGGTATGCCATAACAGAGTAGGGCATCACATACTGTAATAAAGGCACCATCGCGTAAACCGTATCACTGAGCAACGAATCGCATAACAGAAATTGACAGAACATATCATGTTATAACGCGGTGCCACAGAGCAGGTTAACATATTCTGGAACAGCAAGAACCATAGTTGAAGAGGAACGTCGCGCGCCGCGGTCAGGCTGGGAACTGACCAATCAGGCGGAGCGACCACCGTTTGGACGACGTATCACACGTTACAGGCTTCACGGCGTCAGGGCAGATTGCCCCTACTTCTATAAGTATTATTACTGCGACTACTACAAGTATTAGTATTACTACTACTACGGCGACGACTACTACTACGACTACTTCTACTAAAGTTAGGTTTATTATTTCTACTACTACTACTACTACTACTACTATTACTTCTACTACTACTACTACTACTACGACTACTACTACTACTACTACTACTACTGCTACTACTACTGTTACTGCTACTGCTACTGCTGCTACTACTATTACTACTACGACTGCTACTACTACTACTACTACTACTACTACTATTACTACTACTACTACTACTACTATCACTGCTACCACTGCTACCACCACTTCTACTACTACTACTACTACTAATAATAATAATAATAACAATAATAATACTGCTTGTTACTACTACTACTACTACCACTACTAATGCTACTACTACTACTACTACTACAACTACTACTACTACTACTACTACTACTACTACTACTACCACTACTACTGTTACTTCGACTAGTAGTACTACGGCTACTACTCTTACTACTACGACGACGAGAATGACGACGGCTACTACTACTACTACTACTACTACTGCTGCTGCTACTACTACTACTATTATGAAGAAGGCTATTTCTTCTACGACCACTACTACTAATATTCATAATAGTAATATGAAGGCTGCGGTTGCTACTCCCATTGCTACTATTACTACTACTACGACGACGACTACTACGACTACTACTACGTTTACTACTACTACTACTACTACTACCACTACTAGTAGTATTACTGTTACTACCACTACTACCACTACTACCACTACTACTACTACTACTACTACTACTACTACTACTACTACTACTACTACTACTTAGGACTACTACTACTACTACAACTACTACTACTACTTCTACTACTACTACTACGACTACTACTACTACTACTACTAGTACTACTACTACTACTACTACCACTACTACTACTACTACTACTACTACTACTACTACTACTACTACTACGACTACTACTACTACTACGACTACTACTACTACTACGACGACGACGACGACGACTACTTCTACTATTACTACTACTGCTACTGCTACTGCTACTACTGCTGCTACTCCTATGTTTACCTATACTCCTGTTGTTAGACCCCCTTCCTACTGATTATTCGCACCGCTCGATTTGGAGGTTAGTTCCTAACTGTCCTGTGGTGTTGGGTCCTAGTTTTGAAGAAACAGCGCCCCTCGTCCCACCTTCTTTCCTACTCCTCGCCCCCCGCGTCCGCGCCACCCATGTCGGCACACCCCTCACACGGTTCGTGGCCCCATAGGGAGCTCCATCGAAGGCTCCAGTGGCCACGTTCCCATGCGTCCCCACCACCCATTTTGGCACCCCTTTTCAACATTTTCGTGACACCATAGAGAGCTCCAGCTGAGGTTCCAGTAGCGACGTGCCCATGCGTCCCCGCCACCCATTTTGGGAACACCCCTCACACGGTTCGTGGCCCCATAGGGAGCTCCACCTAAGGCTTCAGCGGCGACGTTCCCATGCGTCCCCGCGATTGATTTTGGCACACTCCTCGCCGTGTCCGTGACCCCCATAGGGAGCTCCACCTGATGCCCCAGTGACGACGTTCCCATGCTTCCCTTTCCACCCATGTTGGCACCCTTCGCACGTTTCTTGCCCCTATAGGGAGCTCCACATCAGGCTTCAGCGGCGACG